TGAGGTATTCAGGTAATTTCTCTTTTCTCAGAGCCACCTGATATTTTATATTTGAGTAGTTGCTTCTAAAATCATGAGGGTCCTTTCCCCCAGTTCTTGGAAATCATTTTGCAGCTGGTGATGATCATTTTCATTTTCTAAGCATCTCCTATGAGCAACAGACTGTGCAGTGCCTTTCTTGCTGCACTATCTCATAAAATCGTCATAAAATCTTAAATGAGGTGGGAGTATTATTCCATTTTCTAGATGGTCTCAGATATTACCTGCCATTTACAAATGAGGGAAAAAATTATCTTCTAAATTGCTTGCTCCTGTTTAAAAAAAAAAAAAAAAAAAAAAAAAAAAAAAAAAAAAAAAACCAAACCAGAAAAAAAAAAGCTGGTAGGGTAACTTTAGCTTTGCCATTACTAGGCAAGGAGGGAAGGCAGTTATGGCCATTAGTTGTCACTGGATCCTGGTAGTCAGCTGGTATTGGGGTTCAAGAGGCTAAGACAGGGGACAGTCTATTTTCGCAGACTCTTTGTCACCTTAGTGCCCAGCAGAAGGCAGAAGCCAAGTCACTGTCCCTTCCTCTCTAGGGGACTCGGCCAAACAGTGAAAAAGTGACCCCTATGCCAACAGCCCTTTGTGTCCACTCTCAGTGGCCAGAGGGAGTTGATGCTTCGGGGTCCAGCACAATCTGCTGTGGGTGCCCCAGCAGTGGGCTGAGCCCCCAAAAAAGGGCACTCAGAGATTTTAAAGGACTCTAGGCAGGCTTTTTCACCTGGGAATTCTCTGGGCGGGTCTGGATCCTGGGCAAGTCGGAGGGGAAAATTACTGGTCCTAGCAAATGGAATGTGGTCTAAGTCAAAGGGAATGTCAGTTGGCAATGATCTGAAGGTAAATTTCCCAGGGGAAGGTATATCAATTCAATTATTTGATCAGACCTAACAATCTGAATGTAAGAAAGACTGTATCTTTATTTATTTTTTATTTTTTATTTTTTTTTGTTTAAGAAATGCTGTTTAGCAGTGCTAGGGAAGAGAAAGGAACCATTGAGCCTTGCAATAAATCCTCCTTCAAATCACTAATTTGAGTCTCTTCTATTGATGTTTTCTTTAACTAATTGATTTTTACTTTGTACCTCATTTAATGGTATGGATGGAAGCATCTGTGGGAAAAAATTGCTCAGTATTGTTTTTCACTCAAACAGTAACTTGTCTTTGAGTTAAAGAGAAGCAAAATTGCAGGAATCCATCAGAAACTGTCTCCAGGCAAGTAACAGTTAGGCCCTTGCTATCAGCTTGTCATGTGTGGTCTAGTACTGTTGGCTTCTACTGGAAGCTTTTACAAATGCAGAATCTGGAGTCTCAATCCAGACCTATGGGATCTGCAGTTTAACAAGGTCCCCAGATGGTTTGTAAGCACAGGAAAGTTTGAAAAGCACTGCTTTAGAGATCAGAATCAGCTTCCTGGGAAGGCTTGTTGAGCTTTGAATGTAACTGATATCTGCAGTTGTTTACAGAAGAGATAGCAATTATGTGGTACAAAAGTGAACTTGTGAGAAACTATGAACTTGTGAGAAACATTGCTAATTGTTCCTGGAACTCTATCCACCAACCTTCAGAATGTTTCTCCACTCTATAGTCCAGGCAGCTTTCATGGAGACAGAAAAGTTGGCCTAAGAATAAAGATGCATTTCTCAATCTTGCTTAAAGACTAATTGTTTGCTTAAGAATGCCTAACAGGCAAAATAGACCCAGAGCATTAGTGAATCTTGTTGGTGTGAACTTTGGTTGATTGGCTGAACAATAAAGTCAAGGTCATGAGAATCACCTTGGACCAGCCAGATAATCCCTTAATCCACTCCTCCCTTCCTGCTGTGTCCCTCATCCAAGTGCTCATTGTTTTGCTAACTCATCTTGATTCCCCCTCACTAAATTTCATCTGTTCCTTTCAATAAAGCTTCTTCTCTGTAGCTTTCTGATTGAGGTACTCAGGGAAGATGATATTATTTAGCTCCATGTCCTAGAAACCCAAATTCTGACGCTGATTTGTGTGAGCCATGGTTGTCTTTATTCAGCCCTTTGGGAAGCAGCCTCAGACTGAATGCCCTATCAAGATCAGCCGTCCTCCCAAATTGCTACCCCATGTGAGGGAACTGGGAGAACAGGTTCAAGTCCACTTCCAGTGCCTCGTTGAACAAACTTGACCTTGTCATAACTCCCCTATAGTTGCTAAGGATGTAGGATCTAAGCAATTTGTTGAGTTCTGGTTACAACTTCACTACTTCTTGTCCTGTGACTTATAGGACAGATAACATATCTCTCTCCTTCAGTTTTATTCTTCTATGAAATGGAATTGTTCCAGAGCCTAATTCCCAGAGTTGTTCTAGAGATTAATAATTATTTAAAATTAGGGCAGTGTTGTACCGAGATTCCGTGAGATTCCATGACCCCCAAAGACCAGCAGGGAGCCAAGTCCAATGCAATTAACAAGAGAGCTTCTTTCATGTTAACATGGGCTCCGTCCTACACATGCTGACCGCATGGCGGACGATTGGACAAATTTTGCCAAGCTCCGGGGTTTTACACCAGTGGTGATGTCACTGCTTTGGCTAACACTCATTGGTTGGGTGAGGGCTAGGGTCCAGTTACACAAAATGGAGGATAACTCTGCCCTGCCCCACAGTGGAGTCAGGGTTCTAGTCAGGAGTTCGCCTCACCCTGCCCTGCTCTCTCAGACAATACCTGGAATATGATGAGAATATGCGACAATTGATGTCTACTCATTTTGTTCTCAGTGGAGAGAGGTCCATGTTCCCACCTGTTGCTTGTGGGAGTGAACTTCTCATGATATCCCCAAAAAAGAATTTTCTGAGATTCACATGGGAGGATGAGATGTTGTAAAAAGCTTTCTTTCTGTGGAATCAAACCCTGAGGTTTCCAAGGTCCGATTTCCCTTCATTCCCCCAAGAAAGAAGTGTAGCTATGGCTTCAATAGGGCTAGAATCAAAGCCAGTGTCCAGAGCTTCCATTCCATGTGTGCACAGTCCAATACAACATTAGGCTAGTTGAGTGTGTGTTCCCAGCCTCAGACCATCAGTCTGTTGTATGTGGGGTTCACAGGGCCACATAGCTTGGAGAAAACATGAGTGAATGCAAGGAAGCAGGAACAAGAAAGCCTCACAAGCCAAGAACCAAGAGTCACAATAAAAGTAAACTCCTTTGGCAGAAACCAGTTTGGCTCAGTGGATAGAGCACTGGCCTGCAGACTGAAAGGTCCCAGGTTCAATTCTGGTCAAGGGCATGTACCTTGGTTGCGGGCACATCCTCAGTAGGGGGTGTGCAAGAGGCAGCTGATCGATGACTCTCTCTCATCGATGTTTCTAACTCTCTATCCCTCTCTCTTCTTCTCTGTAAAAAATCAATTAAAAAAAAAAAAGTAAACTCCTTTGTTTGGCGGGTTATGTATCCCCCGATTTTTGTGGGTTTACAGTGGCCCCACCCATTCTGGCCAATAATCTTTGTTCCTAGGTTTGACTGACAGGCACCTTCCCTAGTCACCCCAACTTCACTGGGTGTGTATCTATCTCCCATTTGTGGATACCCTTCCCCCAATAATCTGTGAGGAATGGGTTGATGGTTCCCTGAAGAATGTGAAATTGCAACTTCCTGGTGGTCATGCTTGTAATGTCTGGCCTCCCTTTCACTCTTTTCCTATTATTAACAACTAGCTAATTATAATGGTGTCATTTTCATTGTTGTCATCAACTTGTATTAGAGTAGTGAGTTGGCCAGGGTCAACCAAAAACAATTGCAGGTATAATTTTCTTTTTAAAGTGCCCCTCTTCCCCACAGACATTTCCTCTTTATTGTCAGGTAAAATACTTTCCTAGTTTATGTAAATCATGAGTATCCCCTGAACTGTGTCAAATTTGATAAAACCAACATAGTTTGAATAACTATAATCAATATCCAGATACATCCAGATTGATCAGAATTCAGGCTTTATTGTACAATTGAAAGATCCAAAACATTATTCCAAGCACATGTAGTTAAAGTTTGCAGAGAATGATAATACAAAATACATTCAATATTTAAAGAAAAAATGATATTTGAAGAATAGAGTATACTTAAAATTGTTTGCTTTTGAAGTACAGAATATACTTAAAATTGTTTGCCTTCTAAAAGCTCATTTCCCGTAAGCCTAAACATTGTAATTTCATAGTAAGCAATGAAGTTATTTTACACACTCTAGTTAAATAATTTAATAGGAATAGCATTTGGCAGAATAGAAAATTTCACAGAGATGTGACTCCAAAATAGTTTTATTTAAATCTAACTTTTAACTTCCAAAGATAGATTGCCCCTTATAGACTTAAATATATGATTATTGAAATATTATGTATGTAAAAAAGGGAACAAATATATATATATATATATATATATATATCCCAATAGATATAGATTATCCATCTTCAATTTCATAAAGGACAATAGGATGCTAAAGCAATGAAAAATCAGACATTTTTTCTTTTTCCATCTTTTCATAGTCTGCTGCTCTTGTTCTGCCTTAAGGTTAGCCATTCAAATTGGAAGTGGTAATGTAATGCTGGAAGGGGAAAATGACCAAATATGCTGCCTTATCATTTCCTTGCAGATCTTGATTGGGAATTAAAAAGAAAAAGTGTATGGGGAAGGGGTCCTGAAGAAAAAAATTAATGAGAATCTGAGACATTCATGTTCTGATTTGGTAGACAAGATACAAGTTCTACCAGGCATTGTAGCAACTCCAAGAAGAGGGAATGGGCTAACAAGGCACTAAGGCCAAAAATTGGAACAAATTGAGTATTAGACTGAAAAGTTTTCGGATTATATAGCACTTAGAATCTCTGATTTAGAGAATTCTCGTTAACAAAATACATACTAATCTTTCAAAAGAAGCTTGCTTTTCTGGCTATTGTATTTTTTTTTAAATCAATCTTTATTGTTCATATTGTTACAAAGTTTCCTTATTTTTAATACAGACCTCGTCTATACAAGTGAGAGGGACTAGGAAAGAAAGAAGGATTTGAAGCCCATTTTGCAGAAGCCACTTCAACAGTTTGTACATTGCTGGATCATTATTTTCTGATCCCTCATGTCCCATGGAGTGAAAAATCACAATGAAACATGGTAGCAAAATTGGCCAATTCTTTTATTCCTATGGACAATTTAACTTATTCTTAAGAACCTTTGGCCTATAAATCATGCTTGGAAGATGCATTTGAGAAGGATCTATTAAGGGATGATAAACTCACATATGTACCTCTTGCTGCTCCGACAAACCTCATCACTCCATTTGCCCTGAGCTGACTGAGAGAACAGGGCACAGTTTTCCCGCTTGCCACCATTAGGCTGTGCTCGATCCCAGTTGAGGAAGGAGATGCCAATTCCATTGACATCAACGAACTTGCCTTCCGTGACCAGGTCATTGATGCCTAGCCAAAAGTCATTGACACCTGGCAGGCTCCTTTTACCATAGTCTCGAAGGGCATTGATTTCATCTGAGCTTCTGGGAATTACCAGGGTCCCTCCCTTGGAAATACAGTCTTCATTGGCTTCGTGGAAGTGCTTCGAGCCTTCTGAAGCAAGGTAGCATTTCTTGTGAAATTTTGTGCCCCGGAGACAGACTGTAAAGATGTGAGATTTGATATATTAAAATGCTTGTTGAGTTTAAGACATCCAGAACCAGACCTGGCAAGTACCAGTATATGTTTGTGGAATGAATGATATGTGATGGTAATGCTGAATTAACATTTATTTGCTGATGATTTTGCATGTGTTGGACATTGTATATACACTTAACAAAAAGATAAATTTTGATCTTTTCCAAGCACTTTACTCATATAATAATCACAACAGTCCCATGAAGTAGGATTTTATTACTCCCAGTTGTACATATATGATATTAAGGCTTAGAAAAAGCTATGATTTGCAACAACTTAGCACGTAAAAATATAACTTAGCATGAGATTACAACTGTGCACACCCAGGTCTGTCCCTCTCTTAAAATATGGCCTTTACCCTCATGCTGCTTTGATATACACATGGTTGTTAGTTATTGTAGCTCCACTTTGTGCTGAATTTCTTTGGGACTTTTGAAACTGGAATGATATTTCATAATTATTAAAAACAGGAACAAAGGCCAGAGTTTGTATAGAGAGAAACAATGTTTTTCTTATGCAGATAACTCATCCCTGCTATATATATTGTATAGATTGCCCAGGATAAACCAAACATTAAATATAGATTAGGCGAAAAGCATGGGTGAATCAGGCTCTGACATTTACTAGCTTTGTAAAGCTTGGGCAAATTATTTATTTTCTCTGTGCCTCAGTTTTCTCATCTGTAAAATGAGAATAATCACTAAAGCAGGTATCTCAAAAATTGTTAGAGTTTAATGTGCTAATGTAGGTGAAGCATTAATAAAACTCCTTCTGCATGCATATTTGACTTTCTTTTAACTTTCTAATTCTGTTTCCCTGGAAACCTGATAATGGGGATATATCACCAGTGTTGCTAGGCAACATTGCTTAGGGTAAAAAATGACCTTGAATTGGTAACATAGGTGGTCTGGAAGTAATAAGCACTTGATTGAAAGCTATAACTTCAGTCTTCTCTGAAGGCTGTTACTCTTAAAATTGTGCAGGTCTCTTGTGGGACCCTCAAAGCTCTATTTTGAGTTACTATGTGAGTATTGTTCTCTGTGGGTATGTGCTTTGCAAGCCCAGGCTGTTCCTAAACCACCCTGTGACTCTCATTTCCTCACCCCTGGAGCTCTGCTCCAGAAAGTAAGGAACACCAAATGTTGCCCCCTATTGGCAAACTGTGGTTCTAACCAACGTCCTTCCATTTGCATTTGATGTACATGGCCTGAGTCCTGTGGCCATTAGTTTAATTGAATCTCAGCAGATCTCCCAATGAGCACTTAGTAAACAGCCAATGAATACTAATTACTTAAGGTAGTTAATACTCACTTCACTTCTGTTTCATTGATTATAAGATAATACTTATGAACAGACTTTTAAAATCTTTTATTGAAATGCCTATTTTTATTTCTATACCACCCATATATAAAAGAAGGTAGTGGAAAATCAAACTGATTTCCCGAAACAGTCATCTCCTCAGCTTTTGGATCCTTTCTCCAAAACACATTTGGCTTGTCAATGTCTCTTTTAAAAATATGTCACCAAGACCTTGACATGCTCTCCAGGTATGGTTTGAATTGCTGGGAAATCACAATTTTCCCCCTATCTCCTTTGAGACAGGCATCGATGAGATGGGGTCTTACCTGTCTGCAGAGCCTGTATTTCCTTCAGGGCATTGACTTCTCTCCAGAGCTTTTCAACTTGAGTCTTTAGGTCTCCATCCTTTTCTGGAATATTTTAGGGTGGGATGGTAAGGGAGAAATAAAAAAAGCATATGATTAAAATAATATGAAAATAAAACAAAATAAACTAAAGCTTTGAAATCCAAAACCTAAGGCATGGGTGGTTTTGATGAAATTGCACTCAGTGTACATGAAAAATAAAGCATGAAAATAAGTTGGCCAGGAATATTCATAGGTTTTGGTGGAGATAATAATAATACCAATAATACTAGAAGTTTCCTCTGTGCAATAGGGCTCCCATCTATCTCTCTAGCCTAGCCCCTTCCCATGCGACCCTTACTTCACCAGTCTTCAGATTCCTTGGCTCTCAGATGCATCCTACAGCAGGCTATCTCATCCTGGGATCCTTTCCTTTGGGTTCCTTATGCCTGGAAACTTTTACTCATCTTTTTATTGAGTGTAAACATTTCTTCTTCTGAGAAAACTTTTCTAATTATCCTCTCTATTTTAGCATCCCTCTGGCTAATCTTTTTCTTTGAACCTTTATTTTTCTTCAAAGCACTTTTTCCAATCTATAATTATTTTACTTAATTTTATCTGCCTTATTATCCAGAGTATTCCTTGGCACAAAATAGGTACACATAATGTTTGTTGAATGAATCAACAAGATTTCAGGACTGATGGGGACTGTCTTGGAGATTGACAGCTTGTGAGCTCTTCAAAGGCAAGAATTGTAATAAATCATACTAAACTAAAAAGTATTAAAAGCCACCATACCTTATGTGCTAAGAGCTTCGTTATTTCAATATACCTGTGAGATAGACACCATTACTATGCCCAAGAAATAGAGGCATAGACAGTTGAATTGACCTGCATAAGATTACCCAGCTGGTAAGGTACAGAGTTGGGATTTGATACTCACTAACTCCCTTTCTTCTCATCCCTCCCATTTACTTCTGCACAGTGATTGCCTTCACCTGCTTGGTCCCTAGCATGTGGTCTCGGTCAGAGAAGATGCTCAAAGCTTGACAGGGACTGTCCTCAGATGCCTCCTTGTGGAGATGCCATATAGAGAATCTATTCTCTGTCCTGGGTTTTTCAAATCAGTCCCAAATCCAGACACATTGATCTCTAGCCCCTTAAACATATGCTTTGCAAGCCAGGTATTCCACACTTGGGTTAGGAAAATGCCTTCTGCGGTACGCAGAGGTGGCTCCCAGCTCTGTTTCACTTCATACTGCTCATTAGTTCTCAAAACATCCACTAGCTCAGCTCAGAAATAGCCTAAGTATTTCCTCAATGGGCCCATTCAACCCAGTTTAAATATGTTCAGAGAACAAAACCATTGGCTGTTAGGGGCCAGGCTTGTAAAGACCTGAAGACTTGTTTTCAAGTTACAAAATTTCAAGTTACAATTCTGTACATGTTATCTCCCATCCCTCTAACCTTCCTGCTCCATTCTTTTTAAATAACTGACCTCTACAGAGAAGCTGTAAACATTGTAATTAACATAAAGATGTAAGAATTAATATTAGGCCCCTGGGAGATCATTATGGAAGTCATTATCCAGATGGCTTGGCTTCTGCTTTTTTTTGTGACAAATATGAATGTTTTGTCTACAATGAAGACAGGGATCGACTATTTCACTGTAAAAGTTATATTTTATTCATTACTGTAGCACATAATTTTTTGAAATCTATATAGTAAGTATCAAAAAAAATTTTGTTTGAATAAATCACTCAATTGCAATTTTGAGTTTTTAAAAAAGACTCCTTTTCACTTTATTATTAGTGTTCTTTAAAATAGATACAATGTGGAAATGATGCAAAAATAATTCCCAGAAGAAATGACCACTAAACATATGAAAAATAGCTCAGCTTCATTAACAGTCTAATAAATGCAAAATTTAAAAGGTTTTGTTCTTTTGGTTAGGTTGGCAGGACTTAAACTGATGGTGTGATGTTGGACTGTCAAGGTATGTGGAGAAGGGACAATCATATACACTGAAGACAGGATCATAGATTGATGCTGTCATTTTGGGAGCCAATTGGAAAGTGTGATTAGCCTGAAATTTTGCTTCTAGAAATGTACCCTAACATCCTTTCATAGGGATCAATATACTTACAGACAGTCCCTGATAAGATGTTTTAATTTATGATTTTTATTTTACAATGATGTGAAAACCATATGCTTTCAGTAGAAACTGTACTTCAAATTTTAAATTTTGATATTTTCCTGGGCGAGCCTTATGTGCTACCATTGTCTCTTGTGATGCTGGGAAGAGCCAGATATTTTAGAGTATAATACTGTGCTGCCAGCGAGGTGTTTTTTTGTTTTTGTCTTTTTTTAAAATGTGTTCTGAGCACATTTAAGGTCGTTTAAGTTACAATATTTGGTAGACTGGGTGTAGTAAATGCATTTTCAACTTACAGTATTTTATTTTTTATAAAAAATACATTTTTTTAAATTGATTTCAAAGAGGGAGAGGGAGAGATAGATACGTCAACGGTGAGAGACAATCACTGATCTGCTGCCTCCTGTACACACCTACTGGGGATTGAGCCCACAACCCAGTTATGTGCCCTGACCAGGAATCACCCTGTGACCACCTGGTTCATAGGTTGATGCTCAACCATTGAGCAACACTGGCCAGGTGATATTTTTAATTTATGATGGGTTTATCAGAACGTTTCTCCATCACAAGTCAGCAAGTATCTTTATGTGTGTACAAAGCAGTTTACTGAGGCACTGAATCAGAGATGGATTGAAAACAACACAAAAGCTCACCAAGAGAACAGTAAATAAATCATGACCCTTCTACACAGAATGATGTTATGTGGCTGTTAAAATGACTGAGGTAAGCTATTTATCTGAGTGTTAATAGATGAAATTAATAAGTTTGTCTGCCAGACACTTTGCATAGCCAATTCTTATTTTGTTAAAAATATCAATTTTTAATTGTGCATTCAAAAAACTGGGAATATTACCTCGCAACAGTTAATAGTGGCTAATTCTGTGGAGAGGATTGGGAGAGAGAAATAGCTTTCACTTTGATTTCATAAAGTGTTATTTACAGGTACTTAAAATAGTTTAAGGGTGTGAGAGGTTGGGGAGCAAGCTATTCTGCAAGCCTAGACTTACTACTTCACCTACTGTAGCATCTGCTTATTGGGACCTGATGGCAAAATTAGCAAGAACTGCTTTCAGAGGATGATATTTAAGATGTGTACTCAGTCAGTAAAAAAAAAAAAAAAAAAAAAAAAAAAAAAAGTGTGTGTTCGTGTGTTTGTGGGGATTGAAGAAGGAGCTCTCTATGACCTGAACTGCAGTTACTCCAGAAAAACCACACACGCACACACACACACTCCCATCTCTCTCTCTCTCTCTCCGTCTCTCACAGACTCACACCCCTTCTCACATCCCTATTGGGTGGTGACCACTTTGCACTCCCTCCCACTGGTGAGGAAATTCTGGCAACAAAAATGTGCCACATCACTCAGTACCTTCTCTTGCCTCCTTCCCCTGCCCTCATCTTCAGCAATATACTGAATAAACTGTACCTACACATGGGAAATATTTCAGTCTTTCATTAAATAAGGTACCAGGGCAATATAATATTTTATAAGGAAAAAAAGATTCCATTTAAGAAATGTTGCATCAAAGTTAAGTTGTATAAATAAATTCCCCTAGAAAAGTGCACTTTATAATAATCAAAACACAACACAACATAAGCCCCCTTTCTGCCCACCAGTCATCTGTGTTGTGTCACATCAAAACCAACCTTGTTGGTGTGTGTGTGTGTGTGTGTGTGTGTGTGTGTGTGTGTGTGTTGTTAATAACGAAGTTCAACTGATAAGGAAATAGTATCATAATATTTACCTTAAAATATCCTGATATGAAAATTACTCAGAGGATGAGATAAAACATTATCCGTGTTTTCCCTTTTGCTTTTGTTTCAGTATGTTATAAATAAATTATCATCATTTTTGTTCTTTGTAGCATTTACTTTTTATCTCACAACCTAATTCAATCCACCTAAAATTTGAGATTGCTTTTAGATTTAGTTTTCCATTAAAATGTCTTCAAACACTATATGACTTTGCTAGTTAAAATATGTTTAAATCAAAGAGAGGTTCAATTTCTCTATGACAGGAAAAAGCTTAAATATATAGTATAGACTGTCCTTCTATAGCAAAATATGAAAATGTATCTACACAGTAACCAGTGACAAAACAAAAGTCACAATTACCAATAGCTCTATCTTCTACACATTTAATAAGGTCTTAATTATTTCACAGTTACCTTTGAATAATGTCACACAATCTCTACGAGTGAAACAGTGTACTCTATAATCAATATGTTCTTCTTGATTCCTCATTCATAATACCAGATGTCCACATATCCCGGTGACTCCCTCTAAAGAACATTTTGTATCTCTAACCCACTTGACAAAGGATATACAATATAGAATTTCTTTTTATATCATAGGAATTTTTTTATCACTGTAAAAAACAAACAAACAAAGAAACAAACAAAACCCTTATTACATGACTCCTATAATTATCAAACTCTCCAGAGAATTAAAAGGTCATTCAGTCCCATGAAATGCCATTCTCCAGGGACAGTCTCCTGGAGGGATTTGGAAATAAATATTGTCCAGCCCCTCCCCACCCTGAGCAAGCCCAGTATTTTACCTTTCACGCGGCGTTTGCTGTGCTTCCTGGCTTTGAATTTGGACGGGTGGCCGGTGGTCTGGTCCAGGAGTAAGGTGATAACCAGGACATAAATTACAAGTCCACTCTTTGCCATGGCTCCCGGGCAGGTCTGGTGGCCACTTTGCCAGCTCCTCTGAAGTAGCTAAGGGACAAGCAGACTGCACAGCTACATCTTGCTCTGGAGTGCCAGGGGCCAGCTTTATAAAAGAGCTGGGAAGGCTGGCTGCCGTCCTGCTGACGAAATGTTTGAGTGGCTCGGCTGGCCACGGCATGAGGTGGCCCCTTGTTCTCCTTCCTCATGGCAGGCGTTTTCTGTGTTAATGTTGGTGCTACACTTCCTAGTTGACTTGCCTTTTCAGAGTGTATTAGAGTTAATGGATGGAGAGATGAAGGGTTTTGCCTGTTTTTCTTTTTTTAAAAAAAATTTAAATTCCAGGAAGTTTGGGGGTCTCTGGGGAAACCCCAACATTTAAGTCTTTCATTTGGAGTTCTGGAGTGCACTTAAAAAATGTTCTGGGAAAGTCTTTAATTTCGTTTTCAGGGCAAAAAATGACTCCTCTTCCCCAAACCTATCCCACAGTGTGTGTGTGTGTGTATAAGAGAGAGAGAGAGAGACCACAAAACCACCTATGTCTATGCCTACTTGTGCGTGTACACAGCCCACATGCAGCTTGGGGATGGTTTGCTTACAGGAAATAATGAAGATGGTTGAAGTGGAGAGTTCTTGATAAAATATAAGGCCTCCGTTTATAAGGGTTCTATGAATTTGTCAAGAATTATATCCTTGCCCTGGTTGGGAAGCTCAGTTGATTATAGCATCATCCAGATATGCCAAGGTGGTGTGTTCAGTGAGGATTGAATGAATAAATAAATGCATAAATAAGTGAAACAACAAAAATTTTTAAAAATATAGTGTGTTTTTTAATTGATTTCAGAGAGGCAGGGAGAGGGAGAAAGAGATAGAAACATCAATGATGAGAGAGAATCATTGATCAACTGCCTCCTGCACACCCCCTACAATCCCTTTCTGGGGATTGAGTCTCCTACTCAACTCTGACATGTGCCCCTGAACAGAAATGAACCTGAGACCCTTGAGTCCACAGCCAATGCTCTGTCCACTGAGCTAAACGGGTTAGGCTGGAACAACAAGTTGATGTGTTTCTCTCTTCTTCCCTCTCTCTCTCTAAAATAAAAAAAAAATAAAAATTGCAATTTACATTCTTAGAGTGAAAAGAAAATTAAAATAGTGAATTATTTCCATAAGAATTAATGTAAAATATCAACTATAATTACCTATGGGGGATCCCCAACCACCCAATACTTTTTTTCTTGAAACTATCCCAACCACTTAAATAATACTTTCGAGTGAAATATATAAATAACAGAAATATAATGAAAAACTTTAACAGTGGGCTATAAAGACAAGTATTGGGAGCCAGATACACTTTAAAATATATATATATTTTATTGATTTTTACAGAGGAAGGGAGAGGGACAGGTAGTTAGAAACATCGATGAGAGAGAAACATTGATCAGCTGCCTCCTGCATACCCCCACTGGGGATGTGCCCACAACAGAGGTACATGTCCCTGTCTGGAATTGAACCTGGGACCCTTCAGTCCTCAGGTGGACACTCCATCCAGTGAGTCAAACCAGTTAGGGCCCCAATAGACTTTTGTATCAAAAGCAAGGGACTGCCATACAGACGTGACCAAGCTGGAGTGAGTTAGAACTCAGGGAAATACCTCTATGGACTGATCCTACCATGCTGTTATCTGGAAAGACAGCAGAACTTGCAGATTCAAGGGGTGATTGATTCCTTCTGAATCTTAGTAAGGAAAATCATAGTCTAATGCACCTTCATTTTTCTCCCTGTTAAAGTCACGTTGAAATCTACCCACATATTTACACCAGAGGAAGGCCACTGATGTGGGAAAATCAGACATAATATAGCAATGTAACCGTGAAATAAAAAAGTAAAGATTTTACTTATAATGCGAAGTCCTTATATTGATATGGGCAATCTATGAGTAGGCATTTGAAAGCATTTGAAAATAAGCTGAGCTGGGTTTACATTCTACTCTCATTCATTTATCAGCTGTGTAAATTTGGGCAATCACGGAACCTCTCTGAGTCTTCTCTTATCTCAGTGATGGGGCTAGGAATGCTTATTTTACAGGGCTGTGGGAAAGATTAAATGAGATAATAGGTATAAGTATTTAGCACAATGTCCAGTGCTTAATCTATACTAATAAAAGGGTAATATGCTAATTAGACTGGGAAACCTTCCAGACGTTCTTCTGGACAAAGCTATGGTGGCAGGGCTGAGGCAGAAGTGGTTAGGGGTGATCAGGCTGGTGAGGCAGGTGGGGGGAGGGAGGAGAGGAGCAGTTGGGAGCCAGCAGGCCAGCATGGAGGGCAGTTGAGGGCAATTGGGCCAGCAGGGGGGTCAGTTAGGGGTGATCAGGCTGGAAGAGGGGCAGTTGGGCGATCATGCTGGCAGGCAGAGTGGTTAGGGGCAATCAGGCAGGCAGGGAGGCAGGCAGGTGAGTGCTTAGGAGCCAGCAGTCCAGGATTGCAAGAGGATGTCTGACTACCAGTTTAGGCTCGATCCCACAGGGTTCCCAGATTGGACAGTGTGCAGGCCAGGCTGAGGGATACCCTCCCTCCCCCCATGCACGAATTTTGTGCATCAGCCACTAGTAATAATAATAATAATAGCTGTAATATTCTTACCATGAATTATAATAATATGTACCATTTCTGGAATGCCGTCTCTTTTTAGCCTTCACAGCAAGCCTATGGGATAAGTCATCTCTCCATATGACAGCTGATTGAAACTGACCAAGTCTCAGAAAAGTTAAGAGTATTTGGTCAGTGTCACTCAGATCCAAGGGTAGGAGTAGAAATTAAAATCTAGTTTTGATTGGCCCCAGAAGACTGCTTGCTCTTTTGCCCTGGGCTGTGAAAAATGTGCTTTGATTTGAATAAGAAAAAGGATTAATGTTTTACAATTGATCATATGATTGATCAAAAATGCTTTTTGCCAGCTTCTCAAATCCTTTGCTCTGAGATTTCAAAGTTACAGAATACCGGTAGAGAACTAATTATTTCTCTTGGACCTATGATACGTGCTGTGTTCAAACTGAACTTATAAGAACAAGGTATCTTTTTTTCTTTAAAATAAATCTATATTGTTTTTTCGTATTTCTCATTTCTTTTCATCTATATTGTTTTTAAACTCCTTTTCCTTTCTAGGAAAGCCTCTGACACTTTTTTTTTTATTTGTTTTCTTTTAGCCAGATTTTAGAGCCCATGCTTTTTTATTAAAAATTAACACACTTTATTTTTTAGAGCAGTTTAGATTTATAGAAAAGTTCATCAGAAAATAGAGAGGGCTTCCTGATATCTCCTCTCCCTGTCTCCCCCCACTCCCAATTTAGCCTATTGTTAACATACTGCATTTGTGTGAACAAAGCCATTTCTTATAACTGACGAATAAATATTATTTTATTATTATGATTAGCTAAAGTCTATAGTTTATTTTAGGTTTCACTCTTTGTGCTGTACACTCTATAGGTTTTAGGAAATAAATGTGTAATGTCATGTATCCACCATTACAATAGCATACAGAATAGTTTTGCTGAAGCCTGCTCTTAAACATTTTTTTTCAATTACAGTTTATATTCATTATTATTTTGTGTCAGTTTCAAGTGTACAGCATAGTGGTTGGACAATCATATCCTTTCAAAGTGTTCCCCTGATATTTCAAGTACCATCTGGCCCCATATGTAGTTATTACAACACTGTTGACTATATTAGTATTTCATAGACTGTACTTTACATCCCCAGGGCTATTTTGTAACTACCAATCTGATTAATCCATTCATCTTTTTCATCTAGGCCCAAATTCCTGATGACTTTTTCTGGTTGTAGAGTCCTTTGCCAACTTTGAGTCATATTTAATTATCTCCTTCCACCACCACATGCTTTTTCTCTGTTACTATGTCCCACTTCTTTCCAAACTTATACTCATTGCGTGTGTGGAAGTTAATACTTTTGTATATGATTAAATCCCTCTTGTCCTCCAGGTCTGAATTCAAAGGCCACCTTCTCAGACATACCTTCTCTATCTGCATAATCTAGGAAGGTCCTATTTTGTCTTCTTCATCAAAGTATACGGATTCATTTGTAGCCCTCATCATAATTTGGGACTCATTTAAAAATGTATGTGCTTAATTGATTTCCTTCTCTCTGGATGGGCTCTAAGTTCTGGAGGGCAAGGGCTGTGTCAGGTTAGCTCAATTCTGCATATAGCACAGCACTGAGCACATAGTATTTGCTCAATAAATATTTACTAATATGTGGCAGGACAGTTTTGCTTTTGCTTTCCTTTCTCCCCACCTCTGAGGCTCCAGCAATAAGGTACTTGACCAAGGAAATAGCAACTCAACTCATGGAAGAGTAAAGAGACCAAGACTCACTTGGCATAGTAACATTTGGAGTCATGCTAAAAAACCATCACTTTTAGCATTGGGGAAGTTCTGATGGTTTTATAGGTGCTTGGCCCTGAATCTAGACAGGGATGGGAACTTTCCTTTAACTTCTCTTCCTCCTGTGGAGATCCCAAGTTCAGTTCTTTCTTCTTCAGGGAAAAAACTAATGGAAGCCAAATGGCTGCAGGACTGGCTAAAAGAGGAGGAAGAGGTGGGGATCAGGTATAGAGCTGGATCTGAGAACATTTTCAAGGTAAGGAATTTTTGTCTTTGCCCCAAATGCCAGTGACATCAGACAGGGCCTCCCCATCAGATATGGCCCTGTGATTGAGCCCCCCACCCCCAAAACTTCAACCTGAAAAGCTAGAATTGGAATGATCTTTTAAAAAAATCACATCGAGAGCTATGCACACATCAGTGATAATGGGGATGGGTGCTCTTTCCCCACCTTGTCCTTAGGGAAGGCAGACCTCACCGGGTTTTCTTGGAGGCGGGACAATCCCTTCTTTGTGCTGCAGGATGATGCCACCAGCTCCTCTGCTGGGCTGGACCTGGGCTTCTGAAAGGGCTATTTAAGAAGAAGCACACATTTATAGGCAGGGAATAGGAACTATAAAAATATTGCCTTTAGTCAAAAGTGTTTTGGTAAGGATTTAAAAACTGTCACCAGGGTTTTACTTTCTTTAATGAATTGCTGTTTACAACA